AAAAAAAAAACCATGATAGTGCAAACTGTGATTATGTTATTGCCATTGACTAGGTTATTTCTCATGCTATTGCTGGGGCTTAAATTAAAAAAAAAAAAGAATGTAAAAAAATAATAACTAGAACCTAAAAATTTGCACACACACATATAATGTAGCGGGCTTGCATGTAAATTTGTTCAAACTCTTCTCTACTTGCGCAAAAAGCTTTCTATAATTTCAGGTGATTAATTTGCTTCCAGATGGCACATTATATTATCAAACAATTGGAGCTTGGAGCTTTTCAATATCTCGTTTTAACTGGATCAGATCTGTTCAGGCGTGAGTCTCCTTTGTTGTTACATGCATTTTCGGACTTTGATTTAGTTCATAATTTAAATGACAAGAAATCTCTATTGGTGTATATACAGTTTATTTTGATTATAGTTTTGTTTCTTGGAGTTCCATTAAACAAAACAAGAAAAAACAAACAAACAGTCATTGGCAATTATTTAAAAAAAAAACATCAGTACTCGTACAGCTTCCTCGAAGTGAAGGCTAATATATCTTTAATCGGTTTTTTATAAAAAGGATCATACACTCTGGAAAGTTAAAGAAATGTTAAAAAAAATAAAAATTGTATTTTTATACTTTTAGTTGTTATGTTTGAAAATAAGATAGCCAAAGATAAAAAAGTCACGGAACCAGGGTGTCTTTGTCCAACGTCTTATTGGAGTACCAATGCGGGCTCAGCCTTCTTTACAAGTCAATTGGAGAAGGCAAATCGAGCGACTTCGTGCTATGGTCGGACGATGTCTTTCGTTTCCGTGTGTTGTCTTTGAGCGATATCTATCAGCAAGCGTCAAGATCTGACAAACACATCCATGAAAATGCACGCAGCATGTGCCCACCGGGCCACTAACACTTTCGAATAATTAACATAGGAAGCAGATTTAAAGAATCGGAGACCCTCCCCGGACAGCAGTCGAATAAACCATCGCTTCTCCGTCTTGGTGACCACAAAAGGAAACCAGGTAATCGAATCTATTCCTTAAAGAACGGACCCAAACTCGACGAGTGCTCCTGCCTCGTAAATGAACGCCTTGGGTGGGGAATCTAGTCTTCTTCAGAAATTACGAGGAAAAGTGGAGGGCAATAAAGAAACTAAGAAAGAAAGAAAGAAGAAGACGAAGACGAAGAAAGTGCACCGGAAAGACCATAATAGATTAGGTCACTTTTAATTTTAACTTGCCTCCCAAGTTTACAGGTAGTTCAGCGACTTTCTTTCTATTTTTTTTATTAAATCAATTCCTCCACGTGTTGGTCGGTGTTTGGTTCGTGGTGCTTAACTTTTTTAAAAGTATTTTTTATTTTAAAATATATTAAAGTAATTTTTTTTTATTTTTTGACATTATCCTTGAAAATCATTAAAAAATATTAAAAATATAAATTTCATTCATTAAAAAATATTAAAAATATAAATTTTATATTTTTTAAAATAATTATATTTTTAAAAAAATTTAAAATATTTTTAAATTGTTTTGTTTGGAAGTGTGATTATAATTGCTTTTAAAAATATTTTTTTTTATCGAAATGCATCAAAATATTTTTTAAAAAAATATTATTTTTAAAATTAATACATCAAAATAATATAAAATATAAAAAAAATTCAATTTTTATAAAATTCAATTTGCGTCACCTTTTCAAACAGTAAAATAAAGTTGTTTTAATTCTTAAACTTTTAAAATTAATTATCTTCAGAGTTTTCTTTATTGATCTGATTTGAACTTCCAGCCATCCGACAAGGCTCTTCACCCTTTTTATTTCCTTCATGTCTTTAAACTTTCCAACACATGCACCAACTTATAAACTCTTTATTTCCTTCATATCTTAAATCGAAAGACCCAGTGTTTGTAAAGCACTAAAGTGAAGCGTATCCAAAGCACCCATCTTTGCCAATCACCACGCAAGCTTTTAAAAGCAGCAGTACGCTAACAAAACCAAAGCCAAAATAACGTTTGAATAACAAAATTATGTTTTTTTTTTAAAAGATATATGTAGGTTTTTTTAACGTATCTCTTAACATAAAAAAAATTTATTCATAAATAAAAAAACTCATGTATGAATTTTATTTGAAAACTAAATTAAAAAAATTAAGAGATAAATATAAATTAAATTTTTTTAAAAAAAATATAACTATTAGCAACATATATTTGGCAGTAACAAGATTGTTTTTACAAGTTATTTTTTTATAGATGACGTGTCATCTATTAACCTAGATGTCGGTAATCAGAGGGTTGCCAAAAAGCTAAGCCCTAGGTTTTTTTGGTCAAATGCGAGAGGAGTAATAATGGTAGTAAATTACAGTATTTTTTCACATGTCTTTTAATATTTTCTTATAAAACAGTGGCAGTCGGTGAAATGTTACCAATCAGATTTTCAGCTGGTAAAGATTAGCAAGGCTCAATTTGCAAATCTTTTTCTTGTGCTGTCAACCGATCGTTTTGTTCACGGTGACAATATTTTTTTGTAGCCGTAACGATTAAAATTATGGAACGATTAGTTATTTTATTGACTGATTTAATTAATTGTTATAATATATATTAAACAATTTTTTATAGTTCATGACTTAAAAGTACTAGAATTATAATGACTCTTGAATTAACTTTTTCTTAATGCAAGGACATTTTAGGTTCCTGATATAGAAAAACAACAAGGCTCAAATGGCAGTAACAAGATTGTTTTTACAAGTTATTTTTTTTATAGATGACGTGTCATCTATTAACCTAGATGTCGGTAATCAGAGGGTTGCCAAAAAGCTAAGCCCTAGGTTTTTTTGGTCAAATGCGAGAGGAGTAATAATGGTAGTAAATTACAGTATTTTTTCACATGTCTTTTAATATTTTCTTATAAAACAGTGGCAGTCGGTGAAATGTTACCAATCAGATTTTCAGCTGGTAAAGATTAGCAAGGCTCAATTTGCAAATCTTTTTCTTGTGCTGTCAACCGATCGTTTTGTTCACGGTGACAATATTTTTTTGTAGCCGTAACGATTAAAATTATGGAACGATTAGTTATTTTATTGACTGATTTAATTAATTGTTATAATATATATTAAACAATTTTTTATAGTTCATGACTTAAAAGTACTAGAATTATAATGACTCTTGAATTAACTTTTTCTTAATGCAAGGACATTTTAGGTTCCTGATATAGAAAAACAACAAGGCTCACATATTCATACCTGTTTGTTTGTAGAATTATTTTTTTTAAAGTAAAGTTTTTAAAAATAAATTATTTTTTAATATTATAAAAAATAAACTGAAAAA